GGGGGGGCAGCAGGGGCAGCAGGAGGGGAGGGAGTGGGGAAGAGGTGACTGAGAGGCTGGTGGAGGCAGAATGGGGTGTTGGGAAGTCGGGGCACATTGCTCACCTTTTCACCCTTATGACCCTTCAGACCGCGAATTCCGTCCACACCCTGGAGTCAGGCAGGGCAGAGACAGAGGTCAGGGCGGGGCTTGGGCTGGAAGGACAGAGCTCCCAAGACCCCGACTGGTTCCCCGGAAAACAGCCCTTTATCTCCTGGCCTGGGGGTCTTTACCTTGACACCTCGGGGTCCGGGGTACCCGAGAGGGCCCTGAGGTCCAGATGGACCCTGGAAGAAGAAAGAGAGGTATCTATAAAGGGGTCAGGGGTGTCGTCGCGGTGGCCTCGGGGCTTGGGAAATGGGAAGTGGCCTCGAAGAAAACAGCCAGAGCCTCGTTAATGACGGGACAAGGACATCCCAAGGACTTCGCAGGCCAGGGTCTGGGGAAAGCCCTTCGGAAGCTGAGAGGAGGCGTGGAGACCTCACCTGGTTTCCTTTGGTGCCTGGGGGACCTTCCTTCCCGGGGTGACCCTGGGGGGAGGGAAGGAGAATGTGACCACTGGCCCCTGTCACCCTCCTGCACCCCTCTCCACACTTCACCCCAAACTCCCCTGTGACCTGATGAAGCCACTGACCACGGGCAGGTGCCACCGGTGACCTCCCAGTGCAAGGGACACACGGACGGAGAGTCACTGAGGGCCCTTGGAGGCCACCAGGTGGGGTGGAAGGTCAAGGGGTATTTGGAAGAAGAAGTGGGTCCACTCACCGGGAGTCCGTCTGAGCCAGGCATGCCGGGGAGCCCTGGTTTCCCCAGAGGACCCTGCAGGAAGGCGAGGGGGTTCAGGGTCACCAAAGGGGTCAGGTCTAAACACGGCCAAGTCCCAGCCAGACATTTAGGCCATCCCGGCACCCGCCCCGGCACATCCCTGCTCCCAGATCATTTAGTCTCTCACCTTCTCTCCATGAGGGCCGATGGCACCCTGAGGCCCAGGGAGGCCCTATACGCAGGGAGAGAGAAGTCACAGGGGCCCCGAAGCGGGGGGCGCTCTCTCCTCCAGCTCGCACCCC